ACAACAACAAAAAAGTATTTTTTCTTGCTGTAAATTTGAGCACTTTTAACATGGGTGGCAATAGAAATCTGACATGAGCCTCAAGTGGTCAGTGATGGAACTGCAGTTTACGTCACAGGGAAAATGAGAGGTTGGCGGTTGGTTTACAACCAATAATACATGCAGACTCAGGTTTGTCCTAGAGTCAGTTAAAAAGTGTTCAATAAGTAATCACATGATCTCTCACCTGGCAGATGCGGATGGCATTGTCGAGCACAGTTTTGGTGTCAGTGGTGTAGTCTGTGCAGGGCAGGGTGGCATGGCTGAAGTGTGCCTGCAGCAGGAGGTGTGTTTTGGTGTGCGCGCTGTCGTACGAGTGTGGGTTGACCTGCAATGGGAGTCGCTGTGCCAGCTCACTATTCAGCTGGTCCTCGTTGTGCCGTACAGGAAGCTCAGCGTACTCCTCTGCATCCTAGAAATTACACAACAAACACCAGTAAACATGATGGAGTAGTTCAGTCTTTGTAACCACGCACTTGTTTGGGTGCAACAGTGGGTCGTGTAAAGCATGGGCAAACATGTAATCAATGGGCTCAAGAAAATAAATAAAACAAAGAATTCTCATTTAGGAAACACTTTTGAGAAAATCCATGCTAACAAATAAAACAATAAAAAAGCCCTATGGAAAATACAGAAATGAAAAACAAGCAACAAACATATGTTTCACGGAGGGTAGTTGGGATCTCTTCATTGTTTCATGGCCTAAATCAGAGGTATTCAACAAAAATGTATTTAGGTCCGGTTTCATTTTTAGGTCTAGAAGATCATAAAGTCTGCAATATATCATCAAGTACCCTGCATGTAATCAATACTTGGAAGACAAATTAATTCAGTACAAAAACGTTTTGAAAATTGAATTGTTAGCAACATCGAACTGTGCATATATTTACAATCTTATCTAATCTATGAAATAAAAATGCTTCTCAAAATAAGCAAATGTTCAAATAGATTTGTGCTGATATGTGTGTTCAAAACCGTTTGGTCTCATAATGCAGTTTGACTTTTAATAAGAGCTAGTTTCTGGTTTAGTCCCATTGCTCACAAGTACATGGTTTTCAAGATTTGGTCACACTTCTGCTTGAGATCCTCCTCCCCATTTCATGAATGACAGAGGAAAGTGTTATCATAAGAGATAAATTGATTTGTATTGAAAGTTTAACCAACAGTAGCAATAATAACTGGATTGCTGGGTTTCAAACCAATGTGTTGCTTTCGATGCCATTTAATGACTAAAATAAATGGAATTAATTTTGTGCCAATAAAACAAACAAAAAAAAAAATTCAGCTAAAATGAACAAAAATAAATTGATGTCAAAGAAAAAACATCTGCCTGAAAGCAAAAACAATCAAATAATTATTATAAAAATCGACATTTATTTTAAATACACTCAGTTCTTTGTTGGTTTCATTTACAACTTCAGTTTTGATCAGCTCATCTAACAAAACAACTCATTTATTTTACTTTAAGATGGAATGACAACCTTTGTAATTCAGTAATACTGGATTCACTTGAAACAAGACGTTTATTTCGACCCCAATCATTTGTTTTTCTTTCACATGAATCACTATTGATGATACACATAACACTCTGAAAAAGTTAAGGACAGCTTTTATGGACTGGAACAACATTATTGTGTTGGCTCATTTCGTTCGTACATCATTCACATTTCAGCTTGCAACACAACACTCATGTAAAACGTTCAAAACCCATATTATGGATGCATATAGCAGCTCGCTACGTTCTTTAATTGACCTTTAGATCCTCAAAAATACATTTTGATCATAGGAGAAGCTTCAAAAGTTCCGTAACTTAAGATTAATCTAGATTTTATGCAACATGGGCCAGTTGGTGCTTTCCATCTTGAATAATCTTCAATTCATGTAAAAAGTGATTTAGTTTTACTCTTATTATGAAAATTTTGCATAAGCACTGAGCACTTGCTTCTGCTTTCCAGTCCATTGAGCTGCCAATCAAAACCATACTAACCAATGAGTGCTAAGCACTGTTATCCCTGCCCTTGTGGAAAGTTTGACAAACGTGACTTTCAGGATCGGAAACGAAAAATTAGAAAGCAAAAAATAAAGTTGTAACTGAAACCAACAAAAATTGAGTGTATTTAAAATCAATGTTGATTTTTATGGTAATTATTTATTTATTTATTTTGTTTTCAGGCTGAAACTACGTTCATTTTTTGGCACAAAATTAATTTAATGTCATTGAAGAAGGATGCAAAAATCTTGATTGTTACTTGAATTTTGAGCTGTGCACAATTAGCATGGCAACGTTTCCTCTTAGTGTCTAGCTTTTTTTAGACCTAGCAAGCCAACTGTAAGAATTTGCGAACTAACCGGACATTTTTGCGAACAAATTCTTGGGTGCAGACCATCAAATATCACAATAATGATCCCAAGAGAAAACCCGAGTTTTTAAACATTTTTATTTTGCACCTATATAACAAGAAGCCTTTGTTAGATTTGCTCTGAGACTTGGACGTTTGTGGGGAGCAGGAATATGAAAAGGCTCAATGAGACAAACTATCCTCACCAAACAGTCATCAAACTAAATGATCATAAAGTCTCAAGAGTTATTTGTTTTGCCCTTGTTTGAACACATTTGAATGTTGAAAGTATTCAAGTGATAATGTTCAAGAGGTGATTGTTTACACCACAAATGAGTTAAATTACACACATGACTCATTGTGGACCTTTGACCTTAAGTCGACATAACCTCTGAGTAAAAACTACTGTGCAAGAGAGTAATTTCAGACTCACAGACACGAAGAGTGAAGCTCATTTAAATCAGAAGTGTGTTAAAGCACAGAAAAAATAAAAAAACGACAATGATTTTCTGAGAAATAAATGCAAAGCGGAACATGTTTGTGGAACATCTGCAGCTGGAGAGTTTAGGGAGCACTCAGAAGAAGAGAAAAAAGCTCTGTAACATCAACGGTTTCTCAGTTTAATAAACAAGTATTACTAAGTAGTACTTAGTATTAATAAAGTAATTATGGTTTTGATTTGTCATTTGATCTCAAGATTAAAATGTTTTAATGCGTTTCTATTACATGAATAAGTAACCTGGTTATGCCCCATAATGTGACTTGTGTCCTGCCATGTAAACATTTCTTTTTTCATTTAACTGTTATCAGTTATGAGAAAAACTTATCAGAGCAGGTAGTTTTTTAATCTTGGTGAACTAGTAATAATTGCATTTTATCAGCAAACAAAATAATGCAGATATCACATTAATTTGGAGATTAAATAAACAAAAAGAACCAATAAAATGAAAATGAACTCACAAGCTTTAAATCTTTCTAACACAAGTTTAACAGCTAGATACAATGGCGAAGGTCATGGCTGCATGTTGGGAGAGGCGGGGGGAGCTCTTGTAAAGGGGCATCTTGACTTGTGCCTCATAATGAGCCGTTCCATGGTAATTAGAGGACAATATGGGTGAAAGAGGGGGCGGATGGTGGGGGCGTCAAGCAGGGTGTCATTCAATGAGTGTTTTAAGTGAAAACAGGGGGTCCAGCCCACCTCATGTCCTACTTTTGTTGCACGGCTGGTGTGAGCAAGATGTAATGAGTGAGTGCTAAGTGGATAATCAGGCGGGAAACATCTAACTGTGAGGATCAGTGATTTATCCCTGCAGCCTCAGGCGTTATTACCGCATTAACATCAGCTCTTTTCCTATTACTGACACACAAACACACCATTAACATTCAGAGACATGTCTCCAAGCTTCCCGCTAGATTTTCAGACATTTGATGGATTTATGGTTATGTTTTTAAAGGAACAGTTGAAATTAAATGCTGCAATGCAATAGTTCAAAAGGTTTTAGTTTCATGGTAATACTCTTAGCAAGCCAAATTACATTTTTAAAACCAATTTATACAATTATTTTTATAGAGCATTATATGAAGAGTCTGGTTCCAAAATGATGAATTGTTGTCTTCTACAACATTACAACTTTACACAATGTTAAACTGTGTTTGATCATAATGATCTCTAATAACATACATGAATAAATCTAAAGATAAAATAAAATTACCATCTACCTTTTTATTTAAAAGATAATAAAAAAAAGATCAATTTCCCTCAAAAGGCGATACGTTCATTCCATCAATCGAATGTTTGTGGAATAAATAAATATTTTTTTTGCTACCACATCATTGAATTCAATATGAACTTATTTTTAAAGGTCTGCTAAAGTCCCATTGCCATTGGTTCTTTCTATACTGCTTCTGTACTCCAGGGGGAAGCTGAGACACCTTCGACCTTGATAAGCAGGCTTGGGTTACTTGAATAAATGCATATTTTCAACACAACATCTAATAGAACATACAAAAGAACTTGGAATTGGAAATTTAAGAGTCAAAACTACTCAAAATTTTTTTTTTCAGGAATGATATTTGAAGTAAAAACAACTTTTTTTAAGTCAATCACACATGTGCTAACAACAGTTTTATACAGCAGCTAATATTCCTATTTACAAGCACTGCAAGCAGTATCCATTCACGCAAAGGCTTGGATCTAATTAACAATCACAGATGACAATGTTATGTAAAGAAAGAGTTCTGTGCAAAAACAACAAAAAATTTGCATAAATTGCATTAAAAAATAATCTTCTATTAGAAGATTAACATGTTTTTAGCCTTGTCAACATAACAAAAAAAATTGAACCTTAATAAATCAATTATAACACTAAGACTGGATATGGTGGGTTTGAGAAATGATATCAACGTATTCACATATTTACATATTTTAAATTTATATTTGTTTACCCCTAGATAAAAATCAAAGAAAATGTTTCAAAATGTAATATAAATGTAAAATAATATAAACAAACTTTGATAATAATAATATTAGTAATAGTAGTAATAATAATAATAGCAGCGCTGTAATTAAAGTAAATGACACATTTTGGTCTAAATGTTATTTTGTTTTAAATGTGAGCTGCAGCTTTTCTGTTGGTAGAGCATTGTGCTGACAATGCAAAGGTCATGGGTTCAAATCCCAGGGAAAACAAAAAAAATCTGTTCATTCTTTCAAATGTAAGTCGCTATGGATGTGTATGTACAAAATGTAAATGTAAGTAGAAATTAAACACAAAAACATAATGCGTTTTATTAATAATAACGTTCTCGAAGACACTGTAGACCGGTTGTGCGCATGTGTACAAATACCTTTCGTCAACTCTCTTAAAAACAGTTAATTTATTATTCATTTATTTAAGTTCTTGTAAGTTTAGGTTTTGAATTAATGTTTAAACATACATGGAATGTATATATTTGGAGGTCTATTCTATTCCAATACTTTATTGTTCACTTGTCTTTTTTTGTACATGGTCAGAGTTAGCGAGTGTAGGTAAATCAACCGGGGGATCACAGCCTACAGGTCTTGCAGGGACTCAACACCGGTTCCACAGATGTCAACGTGCTTGTTGTGCAAGAAGACGTCATGCTTTTTTCCACAACACATTCAATTTAAGAGATGTAAAGCTGCATGTGATCAGTAAAGCAATAGAACCAAATTACACATATTCGGAAGGTAGACTGAAAGAAAAAAAATATAATTGGACCAAATACTGAGATGTGACAGGTACATTTTTTATTAATTGCTTTAAAAAATTTCGTACGAATGGCTTCAGAAATGCCAAATCTGTCAGAGAACGTCTACCAAAAGTAGTCATCACAAGGCATCAATGATGACTATAAATCCAATTCACAACCATTAAATTGAGAAAATATTTACAAGAGTTTGCCTGAATGTGTCACAGAAAATTATTAAAATTAAAAGTAAATTGGGACTGCTGTGAATTAAAAGCCACAGTTATTTATAGTGTTACAATAATTTTATGACTAGTAGTCCTGAAGACAAACATATTGAGAGTATTCAAGGAGCACTCTCTCATAGATTCCCCCTCTGTTTCAAGAACTGGACAGATGTCGCCAGCACCATGTTTCAGTGTGAAGAGCCTTTATGGCACAGTTAAGACTCTGATCAGTGTTTGCAAACGGGGGAGGGGTGGATCTTTCTAATGAGAAGAAGAAAAACAAGGATCTCAATTTAATTTACACCCCGCTTTGATCTTATGGCCACCAATATGACATTCTATATAAGAGATCACAAAAATTCCAGGGTGCCTTCATTAAAGACTATGTGATGAGCAGTCACATAAGAGAAGCTGAACACTTCTTTTCAACCATTTGTCCGTTTTAAAAAATAAAACAAATAAAAAAAAGTAATAACTGTACTAAAACAACAGGAGGAAGTAAATTCTCTGCATTTTTAAAATTATTATTCAGCACTGCGTGCGCACAACCAAAAGTGCGTCTGTTCGTTTATTAAGTACCAGACATGTGCATGTAATCCTGTGCTTGCTGTAATGATAGCAGAGTAAATAGCAACATATTCAAATAATCATCTTCAAATTACATCATACGTACAAATTTGAAGTGCGCAAATAAATAAATTGTCCTATACCTAGGTTACTCAATAGGTGCACTACTGTCCAAATCTGGACACAGACATGGTTAAAATTGGACCGACGCCAAAACCAACTTGCTTCTTTCATTATCCAAATAGGTTTTCAATGAAGCACGCAATTGTGATTCCGCGATATATATCTTTGAGGATTTATCCAATCACAGCAGCTGCAGTCTTCGGAGTCTTTATCGCAGGTTTCTATGGTGAAGACCCACCCACGAGTCCATTTGGCCCACTTGTCAAGCAACCAATCACATTTCGTTTAGCAAAGTCTCATGTGGCCAACGTGCAAATCCACTCGGCAAACAGGTCAAAACATTTTCATTTACACTCCAATAACTGTCTTGAACAAAACTCCTGGACATGTTTTAAGAATCTGGGTTTACCTGGAATTTGAAATCCATATCCAATTTGATAAATAAGACAACTGTAAAATGCATTAATATATGTAAACAATTTAATAATTTTATATGATTGCTTATTATTTATAATATTGCAAAATACTGCAAGTTTTTAAATATTTTCTGCTTTTTAATGAACCATAATCCCTCAGGCTTTTACTCTGTAATGTACTTTAATCTTCAATAAAAAAAAAACAAATCTGAAAAAGTTGCAGCCTTTTCAATCCAATGATGTGATGCGGATACATTTCTGTATGGACTACTTGCACAACATTTCACCTAACACCCAAGTAGTGGCTCAGTGCAAAAAATCTATTGGACAGAACTCCTGGTGATATATAATGATATTGGTGAAATATAGCGGGAATAGCACACCCAAAGACAAAAGCACCTGATTTATCAATCAAATGTTTTGTATCCTGAGCTTGAAAATATCTCTGTATTGTGAATTTTTGTGAAAGTATGTTTATGTTTTGTATTTGTTCTTGTCTCTTTATCAGCTTCTGTGTTTGTTTGCAAGAATGTATTTGTGTTTGCATTGAGCGTATTTTTTATGTGCTCAGCTGTATCAATAGAAACTCACTGGATCAATCATTAACATAAGGTCAGGATGTTGAATCAGTGAAGGTGATGATGCATAAATGTTTAAAGTGCAGCCGGCGCATCGGCGAGCAGAAGATGAGACGATGAGAGGAACATTAAAAGAGATAGATGTAGAGACAGTGTGTGTGCGGGCGTGTGAGTGCGTGTGTGTGTTTGCTCACTGAGAGGATAGCCAGCAGCTCCTGGACGCTCAGTTCCGGCTTCAGTCTCTCTCTGAACATGCGAACACTCTGGTGTTTCAGGTAATAATAAGATGCGATGCGACCGTACGTCAATGGCTCGATGCTTTGCTCATCCTGAACAAAAAACAACAGTATAAACACAATTTATCAACAACCGCAAAATCAACAAAGAATTCCAATCAACATAAGATAATATTGAAATACATAACACCATACAAAGAATTCCACCGTAACACGATGAAACTGAGTTACGAATCATAACATAGAAAAAAAATTCCATCAAAATACAATGACTTATTTCACTAAACATAGAAAATGCTAAGTAACACTTAACAGAACACATTTTAATGTGCTAAAAGCAATGTCATTAAAAAATAAGAGCGACTAGAAACATTTAACCACTGCTGTATTAGCTACATGCAATGTTCAAAACTCAGATTCATTTGTTATTTAACATAATGACACTTAATGTAACACAATGAAATAAAGCGTACCAAAGAATATAAACAAAACTGTATAGATAATATTAACGTAACATATTGCAACGCAACACATTCTAGCAAACAATGGAAGTTTGAAACTAATTAAAGCAGCAAGCAGCGATAAAAGGGCTCAAGCACGTCCATGTCTGAAGTTGAGCGGCGCTTCCAGGTCCTGGTGCTTCACTGTCCCATTAACTTTCATAATTATTACACCAAAATGCTTTAAATCAAGCAAAACTTAAGTGTAGATTACCTTTAACTTTTGTTTCCGAACAGTTTCCAATTTATAAACCTATTTTTTTTAAGACACCTTGACTCTAACCTTTATTCAGACACATTATTGGTAATCGTTACATAATGTTTATGAAATGACGATCAAAGTTTCAGCACCTTTTACTGGAAGCACCGCACGACGTCATGACAACCATCGGATTGCTGCTCATTGATCAGTTCGTTGCAATTTGCATTGTGGTCAAATCCTTATTTAAAAGATGTATTCAAGCAAGACATTTTACCTTTAATGGACAGCACAGGCAAAAAATAAATACATAAAATTAAAACCACATCTCAAAGTATCAAGACCCCCAGACAGCAGTAAAGAGGAATACTATTTATAAGTTTCTGGTTTTTGTTAAGATTCTGTCACAATTGGTATGAATATTAAATGTTTCTCTTCCTTTGGCCACCTTGTGGCACAATAACGGAGAGTCAATGTGTTT